ATGAGCACTATACCTCTCCCCCTCCTCATCCCACCTCGACAACTCCCAAAATGGAACTGGGACCATTACTACTTCCGATGGTTGACAAGGAGGTGGTCACCTCCCTTACCTTCCCGTTCGACGGCAAAATTTTGAAAAAAAACATGGTGGGATTGTGGGCAAGTCATGAGAAGGGGTCGCGGAAGAGAGACAGAAAAATGGGTGCACCGACACCGGGGCACCGCCATTCGCCCACCCCATGGTGTAATTTGTGGCGAATACTTAGAACAGGCTGAAGATGTGAGCGAATGAGTTTAAATCTGAAGAAGCCAACCACCATTTTAGGGTCTCTGGGGGAGACATGGGGGGATTTATCATTTTAGGTTCTCTGCGGGGACATGGGGGACTGTAGAAACTAAATATTGAGCGGACCATTTCCATCTGGGGTAAAACGAATATTCCAGTGAGAATACAAGGACATGAATTTGCTTTATGAAAGCCGACTCACCAGGAACTCCTCGTTCTCCCTTGGCTCCATCAACGCCAGGCGGATTTTCCATTGGGCCGATAATCTCTCCAGCTTCTCCTTTCAATCCGGGATATCCAGGAATTCCTGGCAAACCCACTGATCCCTACAATGAAGAAAAATTATCTTGTACTCACATGGGGGAAAGAGTATTCAATTCTTCTTACGGGAAGTCCATCCGGTCCAGGGAATCCCGGCTTTCCTGGTAAACCCTTCAGGCCACAATCACCCATTTCACCATCTGGGCCGGGAGGTCCAGGATATCCATCAACACCGGGCACTCCTGGCTCTCCCTTCAGTCCAGGAAGACCATCCGGGCAGTATCCGCAATCGTCTCCTCTTGGACCTTTGTCTCCTGGTGGTCCCGGCAATCCGTCAAGACCAATTCGTCCTGTAATTTCAGAGTTTCAGTTAAGTGAGGATTAATTACATTTGAATGATTACCGTTTTCTCCTGGAGGTCCCATGAGTCCCGGTTGTCCTGGTGGACCAACCTTTTTCACACCTGCTCCGGGGAATCCCTTTTCTCCAGGGTAGCCCGGCTCACCAACTTCGCCAGGTAGTCCAGGATATCCGTCTCTTCCTGGCTGACCGTCGACTCCTGGTGGACCTTGAATATCGTAGCCAGGTGGACCGTCCTCACCAGGAGGCCCACAGTCACCTTCTTCACCAGGCATGCCGGGTTCACCAGCGAAACCTGGATAACCATCGTCACCACGATCTCCCTTTTCCGAGTAGCCAGGAAGTCCATCCAAACCAGGGCGTCCTTGAGGGCCAGGAGCTCCAACAGGTCCTCTAGGTCCAACAGCTCCCGGGAGACCGTCCTTGCCAGGCAAACCTTTTGGGCCCGGTACTCCATCAATTCCTTGCAAGCCGCGTACTCCAGCATCTCCGTGACCTTCTCCAAATGGTCCTGGTGGTCCAACATCTCCTTCTATACCAGGGCGACCATCATATCCCGGTTCTCCAGCCTCTCCTTTGGGTCCAGGATATCCAGGAAGACCAGGGAGACCTTGCTCTCCTTGAGATCCTTTCTCACCGAACTGCCCATGAACGCCATCTTTGCCTCGCTTGCCCTGTAAGATGTGGATTATTGCTGTATGAGTCGTTGAGGCTATCATTATCCACCAAATGCTTTATGTCCAACTCACTCGATTTCCTGCATCACCAATATCTCCTTTCTGGCCTTTTAGACCAGGATATCCGTCTGCTCCATTCACGCCCATCAGTCCTGGAGGTCCCATGGGTCCATCGCGACCTTTTTCTCCTTTCACTCCTGGAAACTATTACAGTGAGCGAATCCCTAAAGCTGAAATAACCACAAGTGTTACCTGGGGGTCCAATAGGGCCCTGAAGAACTTCAATTTCTTCTGGAGCAGATGCCCCAGGGAATGCTCCTGGTGGACCAGGTAATCCAGGAGGTCCTTGCAAACCCTTTTCTCCTTTAACACCTGGTGTACGTGCTCCCATTCTTCCTTTTGGACCAGGTGGTCCAGGGAATCCAGGCGGCCCCTGTGGTCCAGGATCTCCTTTCCATCCTTTCAATCCAGGCAAACCATCGCGTCCTGGTAGACCAGGCAT